CGATAAGTGTTGTTCTTGGAACGGAAAATTTTAGCTCAATATTTTAAGGGACCTAGGGTTTCTATGTTGGTTGATTTAAATAAACTAAACTAATCACCACAACATATCAAAATCCTAAACATGCATCTATCATTCACAATATATATAAGACATAAATTTGATGCATTTGGCAACTAGCATGACCCCTTGAAATCTTCAAGGGTCTTCATCTAGGCTTGTCTTCATCGAAACGCCGTCTTGAGACATCTCTGCCAAAATAAAATTACTAGCTACTACGACTAAGATTAATCTAAGTACAAAAATACTTAACGTTATGCAGACCGTATTTAGATTTACAAAAATACGTAACGGAACGCAGTCCGTATTTTCTATCCTAGTCGGGTCCCACTAGTTGCCATTTTCTCAAAACCTATTTTGAAACAATCTTTCATTCACCCGTTCACTATTTGTGAATGGCCCATGCATTTTACGAGATAAAACAAGTAAACACGTAAAACTAGTAACTAACTTAGGTGGTTAATCCGATTAACGCGCCTAATTAAAACTAATCAAATTTGTTTAATAAATTATGTATTACTAAGGTGCAATTTGTTCACAAAATTAGCTAAGCTCCCACTAAATTCCGTATCCAACTTAATCAATCCAATTAATTAAGCCGGTTAACCCAAATTTGTCAAAATCAAAAATTTTGCAAGAGCTGGAAAAATCGAGGTCCAACCTCGTTAAAATAATTACATAAATATTTTAAAACAACAAAATTTTCGCAAAACACATAGCCTGAAATTAAGCAAAAACAGCCGACTCGTATCCTTATGGGGTGTTCTTGGTGCGTGGTGCTAGCATGCAGTTCCTGGCGTAGCATGCTATGCTGCTAGCATCAGCAGCCTGCCTTGCATGCTGCGCATGCTGGCTAGCATGCTGGCGCTTGCCAACAAGTGGCGGACTGGCTGGGGCTTGCTGCCATGCTGCCCAGCAGCGTGCCCAAGTGCTCTAGCAGCCTTAGACTACTGCCCACGCATCAGCTCCCTTGCATCCTTCGCCACACAGCAGCGCAACATCAAGGCACAGCCCTGTGCGCACCATAGGCAGCCACATGCGGGCTGCGTGGGCACCCCGACTAGCCTTGGTGACGCTTCGGGTTTTTGCCTCGATTTGCGTGCATTTTCCTCGAGATTTTAATCCCTATTTACGTGTGACGTAAAATTAATCTAAATTTATTTTAGAATTAATTTAGGGCAAAATGAAAATAAAATAAGTCCAACTTAATTAAATTCAATTTTAATGGCGACAAGCCTAAATTTCCAAAAATTACATTGGAATATTTTAGGTCTTTCTTGATGCTTAAAATTGAAAAGCCTATGTCCATAATTAATTTAACCAATATGCAAAATAATAATGGATTTTGACAAACAGGGAGTTGGAAAAATAGACTAATCATCCAATGGAAAAATTTTCCAACTTTTACACTTGTGTAAAATAACAAGATTACATCTTCCAATATGAAGATTAATCAAAAATAATCACAAGCATTTGAACTTTAAGGATTTTAATCAACCAAATATGAAAAAATCCAAAATTAGTTCAACATGGAATTTTATAGTCAAGATTCCAACCATTTAAACATTTAAAGATTGGATCTTTGACATGCTAGGAACCTTAACATTACACATTCACGATAAACATTCACTCATTAATGCAATTTATTTGCGTAATTGTGAAAAACAAATTTATGTGAAAAAGAACATATCAACTTAAGCATATATTATAACTCCATAATCATGCTTAAAAGATATTTAAATTGCAGTAGATTAGGGATGCAATAATGCATTTAATCTACCCTTGACATGCTTGCATTAATCAAGGCATAAAAGATTTAAAATTTTCGTTGAAAACAAAAAAAAACCCTCAAAAAATAGGTTTTTGGTTCGAATTTGGTTTCTGGACAGTCTTTAAAAAGAGTTGAAACTGATTTAGATCATCGATTCCACCCAAAAAAACAATATTTTTGAGCCAAAATCTGAGTTCCCAGACCAAAAACCGAAAATTACAAGATTAAAACTATTTTAAAAATGTCCTTCTAATCTAATTAGAAAAGCAAAACCAGAATTTAAATCCACTTTAAAACACCTTAATTAAAAAAAAAATGCAATAATTAAAAGGAGCGCTGCTCTGATACCGCTGTAGGGTTTCGTAAAGACCCACTCTACGCGAAAGGATACCCACCAAGACCCGCCCCGATAACTAAAGCAATTAAAGCATGCAAAACGTAATTAATACATAATTAAGAGAAAAAGGGATAAAGAATTATACCCTAGACGCGTGCTTCACTCACCGAAAGAACTCTTACTTGAACCCCGCAATCGCAAGGTCTCAGATGGCTCGTACCCACGAACCCCGACCCGAGAGATCCAAGTCCCGAAGGTTAGTCGGGACTCGATCAAATAAAAAGAGAGTTTTACAAACTTAAGGCTTTCTCAACAATGGAGATACCTTTGAGTTCTACTCAAGTTGTGTACTCTCAAAATCCCAACCAAGGGGTATTTATAGAGAATGGGGACATGAATCCCTTTTCATGATCAATGTGGAATCATGTGCAAATGCACTAATTTATTTAATTCTAAAATAAATTATAAAGCAAATGCAATCACAAGGCAGCAAGTGGCAATAGGAGAGAATGGGTTAGGTGAGGATCATATCCCATGGGGGGGACCATTGCCTTGCTCCCCAAGGGAAGCCTTGAGGCCTTGGTCCCCATCTCTCCTAAACCGCCACCCACAAGGGCTGCTGGGCTGGCAGCCAGCACGCACTGGCCTTAGCACGCCCAGCATGTGCGTGCTGCGTGCTGCTGGGTTGCTGGGCGCTGCTAGCGTAGTGCTGCTGCCTAGCCAACGCACACACACACGCACAGCCTTGCATGCTGGTGCGTAGTGCTGCTGCCCAGCCTCTCACACACACATCGCATAGCCAGCATGCGTGCTGCTAGCGAGCCACGCATGCTGGGCATTGCCTCGCCAGCCACACGCACAAGCACGCTATTGCTTGGTGCTGTGCTAGCGATGCACACGCACATGGCGATGCTGCCTAGTGCTGTGCTATGTGCTGCGATGAGCGATGCTAGGCCTGGCCTAGCGCCAGCGCCTAGCATACAAGCAAAGCCTAGCCTTGCGATGCTAGGGCGCGTGGCTTGCTAGCATATGCGCAAGCACCTAGCATGCCTAGCATGTTAAGCTTGCGATAAACTAGCCTAGCCTAGCACTCACATGGCTAGGCCAATGTGATGCTACGGCTATGCTCGTACTTGTTGCTTGTGATTTTGCGACGCTCAGTCTCGACGCTCGAGGCTTGATATCCGACGTCTGTGTTCGTAAAACTCCAAGGAACCGAGGCCTATCCTCGTTAAAATAATTAAATAAAATAATTAAAACGACCCCAATGATTGGTGCGTTATCTTGGGAATAGGGCCTTGAGGGCTGCCTTTTTCTCTATGATTGGGGATGCCACATGTCAGTAGAGGATTGGTTCATTTTGAACCTTCCTTAAGGTGACACGTGTCACCATTTTATTGGGCCACGTGGCTTTGAGTATTTTTACCCAAAACAAGAGGAGTGGATTAAGACATATCATAAAAACAGCGTTGATTAGCTCCAACTACTCTCTACAATTATTTCGTTTTCCGCTGACTAACTTGATCGTCGGAGACAAATATTCCGTCAACCGAAATATTCGTTGTTTTGAAAGTGTTCGAATCCATCCGGTCGAGTTCAAAACCTGTATCCCGAGGATTTTTAAAAAATCCCAAAACAACCTTTGTTATCATACTCAAATTATATTTGAGAATTAAAAAACCCCAAAACAACCTTTGTTATCATACTCAAATTATATTTGAGAATTAAAAAAAAAAAAATTAAGATTCATAGTAAATTACTAATAATTGTAAATTGGGTGTAAGTGGTTAACAAGAAGTCAAGAAGATGCATGCCATGGCATTGCTGAACTGATTTAGTGAAGTGGCGAAGTGGGTTGCGGCAAACCGTCAAATCGGCAATTAAAGTTGCGGGAAAAATTATCAATTTACTGAGTTTTTTTTTTATAGGAATTTACTAGGTTGTTTCAATCCTTTTTGCATTTTTAATAATTTGAGATTGTAATTTGATAATAATCATATTATTTACAATTATAAAAAGTAGTTTGCACTTTTGAGTTTCGTTTAACAATGTTGTTATATGATAATTTTGTAAAAAAAAATTTAGGGCCCAATTTCTAAGTTTAGAATAGGTCCTAAAATGATTAAGACGGCCTTGACCATATTTATAGAGTAGAATAAATTAAGAGGATAGCCTTTGTGTGGAAAAATTAAAAAAAAAAGGATGGTGGAGAGGAAACAAATACTGGAAATGTGGTGGATGACAGAGAGTATGATGTGTTAAAATATTGTAAGGAGAGATAACATGTAAGAGGACAAAGCCCGCCTCATCTTTCAAGCTAGGGGTATGGGATGGATTAAAAAATCCTATTGATATGAGATTTCATACCAAAAATGTCTAACAAAAGTACTAAACAATAAATAGATGTAATAGACTCTAACTATATTCTAACATCTCCAACCAAATGACTCCACAATTTCCCCGAAAGAGCGGGTGTACATTAATTTATTGTAAAATGAGTTAAACTTATTTAAAAGTATTTGAAGTTACCTTTTATACTGAAAAAATTATTATTTTTCTAATAATAAATATTATCTTATCAAAAACTTATAATGTATTAGATTAATCATATTAGCATTTATAATATGTAATCATAAATTTATAAGAAATTACGCATTAAAATAAAATTCAAACTAATGACACATTAAAAGTTATCGTTTAAGAGGTTAAAGTTACCATAAAAATAGTTAAATTTACTCTCAAACTGATCGTCTTATAATAAAATTAATGTACAATCGTTTTACAAAAGACTTATTGCCTATAGTTTTTTTAATGTTTATATAAGGTTGTTTTATCGATTTTATAAAGTCATCCATATCAAGAACAAAAGGTAAGTTTTCAGCCAGGTGTGGGCGCGACGCCGTCTAGGTACGTGACCTAACACCGCAAGAGAAAAATGGAAATACTAAGCACAACTCAGTATATACCCGCCAAAGTTAATAGCCAAATTCAATTTTTTTCATCTGCCACTCATAAATTAGTTATTCAAAAATCAATCCCCTACTTTTTCAAACCCAAAATCCAATCTAATATCTGCTGCAGAAACCATGAAAAACGCAAGCAAACCGTGCAGGTTGTAAATTTTTTTTTTTTTTTTTTCATAAAATTGAATTTTTGCTTCAACCCTTTATTTAATTGTGTGATTATTTCAATGGGTTATTCTTGGATTTATTTTTCAAACAGCGTTTCTCACAACTGGAATCCGACCCACCATGGGAAAGTGGGAGTGTTTGGAGCACAATGGCTTTGTATATTTTTAGCTTGCATGTACCATTAAGTTTTGGTGGATTATCTGTTATTGCTAACCTTTTGCATCTGACTGATCTCGAGCCTCAAATTAAGGTAAAGTTTCTATTAGTTATTGATACCTTTGCTAGTGATTGTAATGAGACGTTGATTTATTTTGTAAATGAAAAATTAATTGTCATGTTAAGGAGGGGTGGAATGTCTCTAATTGGATGGTGAAATTATAGGAATGAATAATGATTTGAATCTTATTTTTTACTGCATTTATGAAATTTAGTTCAATTATATTGGAAATTGATGCTGTATTCATTTCTCGCTTTATATAGTTAGATATGCATTTTTGGTTGGGTGAATTGGGTACCATTGCTCGGTATTGTTTTAACCCATTTGCTGAAGAAATGTTGATCAAATATGCCTTTAAATAGTTATTCAGGAATTATCATGTTCTTGATTCACAGAAATGGTAATTTTTGTCCGAGATTACCTACCATAAAGTCAATCTTTGATATTAAGAATGAGAGAATCTGTAGTGATTCAGATTGATAATCGCGTGCTGATACTGAAACTTCGTTATTTTCCCTTCTGTTGTGTAGGCAGTGGCCATACTTTTGATTGAGATTCTGGAGCTGTTTTCTGCTGTGCTGCTTCTGCAGTTTACTGCAAAGCATAAGCCTATTAGGTTCTTTCAAGTTGGCAAAAAACAGAATGAGAGGAACTGGATCTCCAGTGCTCTTCTAGGTTTCGCAATTCTTATTCTAGCCATGTTCTTTGTAGAATTTGTTGGTGATAAACTGGTTGCCCCTAAGGTTAGTCTGCTAACTTCCTTTTCTGGTTCTTATAACTTGTCAACTGAGTTTCAAGCATAAAATTGTTGCCAAATTTCACATTCAATCAAAATAATTTTATGACAAACATCAAACAAACCAAATACAATGGCAATCAATGGTTTGGTCCGCAAGCAAAAAGGGTGTCAAACGCCAGAGACCTGCTAATTTGAAGTCAAACTTGTTGTTTGATCTAAAGTCTACTAGAGAAACACTAAGCTATTGAGATTGATATAAGATATTAAAGTCACTAGGGAATGAGGATCCACTCAGCCAAAGGAAATCAATCAATTGGGGGCAAGTTTGGGATGAGCATAACTTTTAAGAGCAACCAATTCCTTGCATGATCTTATCTAAAACGTCCCAAGTCTAGATTCCTCTATGACTTAATCAATAAAAGAAATTTGATAAAGAGCTATCAATTAAAACAAATCCAAACTCACATTCCTATGCTAAATTTAGATTGTCATGCAAATCATATATGCCATCAGAGGTACCCTATCAAATCAAACAAACATCATCATAAATTCGATATGTGAAAGCAGGGGAGCCTGCTCGTCTTTTCAAATCGAGTGATGCTTGGACCACCAAGTGCGCCCAATTCCAGTAAATAATGAAATTATTAAAATACATTTAGAGGGTAAAATTACCTTAAATAATCACTTTGATCATTGAGTGAACACCCAAAATTCCTCTAATAAAACCTTAATAACCATTTGATCAAGATTCACCTAATCCCCCAACTAAAGAAACTACTCATTAGGCATAATGAAATAAAATGCAATCAAAATATTCATCATTATCAACGTCATTAAGATCAAACAAAAAGGAAGCAAATGAATCACAGTTATACTAACCAATCAATTATAGAAACTTGGCAACAAAAACAGAAATTTAGTTGCAAGTAAAGACATCTTACTAAACTTGAACCAAAACTTGAAATTGAAACTTGGATTACTTGAATTAATGAAGAAAATTAATTTTTTCTACACTTTCTCTCTAATTAAGCCAGTGCTTGGGCTGCTGCTGTGCATGTTGTCTCTGCTGCTGCATGCCCAAGGCCTTGCTGCCAAAGCATGGGGGCCTTGCTGAGATGCTGCTGCACTTGCTACTATGCTATGCCTTTGCTGTGGCTGTGGGCTGCTCATGGAGCTGGCTCTGCTCACGCTTCTGCTGCTCCTCACAGGCTTCCAAGGTGCACAGGCTGCACTCTTGCTCACAGCAGCTTCTCGTTTCACTCAACTCTAAGAACTCCCGAGCAAAGTACCTACAAATATGGCAAAAACTGCTATAGTAGATGCTTTTGGCCAAAATTAAGCAAAAACACAGCAAAATCAAGGTCATTGCACAAGATTAAAGCTCATTGAAAATGATCAATGCAAAAGATAGCTAGAAAGGAAGAAAGAACTAAGAAAATTATTGAGCTCTACACTTTCTCTATCTAATTAGGTTGATGAGCAGTAGAAAAAAATGAATTTGAAGCTTAATAAATTACAAGTATGGTGTATTTATAGATTAGAAAAGGAAGAGAAAAATAAAAAGTTAGTACGTTAAGGTTGTGTGAACACACCAGATCTATAAGTTATGGATATGTCGCTAATTAAGCCAACCTATCAAATTAACCTAACTACCAATTAACGATTATAATGGTAAATAGGGTTGATTCTCCACGGGTAAACGGAACGAAACACGATTAATTCGCAAATAAGAGAGTCACAAGTAAGAATATTTTTGGTATTCTCACATAGCCAAAGTTGAAGCACAACAGGACATTCTTTGACTAAACCTCCTAGGTTTTGTTTTAAATGGTCAAGCCCCATCATAAGCTCGCCCAAAATGAGCGGCCCTAAACGATCCCTTGACTCTATCAGTGATAGCAAAGAAAGACATCTAAGATGGCAAGAAAATAACGAGTCTTTGAGTATCAAGGCCAAGCAACAAGAGGATACAAGCTCTTTCTTAACACTTTTGGAAATTTTTATGCGTAGCATCTTCCCAATGAGATAAAGAGAAAGAGTCAAGGAAATTCTCTACTATTAAAATATCAAGCAAGGCGATAATTGCTTACCATATTGCATGGTATGCCTATTAAATCTCTCATGACTGCATCATTTTCCCTTACATTAGCGGGAGTAATCACACGACCTCATTTAGAGACGAGACATGATAGACCCTCCACTTCTTTTGGAAGAGGGTTCATCTCTGTCTCTCCGAAACGAAAAACATGGCGTTCTGTATTCCAAAATTCAACAATAGCATGAATCATATCATAGCAGGGTTGGAAAAGGCGGAAGGAGAGTGATGGTTATAGTGAAGACAATAGTAAAAAGTGAAAGTCGAGGTGTGGAAATATTTTCTACCACCCCTTCAAGTTGGAGCTTTCTAGCTCCACTAATTTCATTAACTTCTTGATACACATTAATCATTTTTGGAAAGAGTTGAAAAGAAAAGAGGAGGTTGGAGAAGAATAAAAAAATTAGTGAAAAGAAGATGGAAATGGTGAGAAAACTAACACCACCACCCTTTATATAGGGAAGGTGGTGGTAATGCTACAAAACACAAAAGGCCAAAAGGGTTTGCTTTTCCGCAAACCCAGTACAAATCACCTTATGTTGTTTCATCCAAAATCCATAGATTATTTGATGTTCTTTCAAAAATAATTTTTCTACTCTCAAAACCTATATGATTTTTCATTTTTTGTTACACTCCTAATATTTGCCTTACAGCATCAGATAATCATTCATTTGAATTTAGACACATGGGAGTCCATCATTTTGTGGAATAAAAAGAGTGAGTTTTTCTCTAACATCCACTTACAATTACCATTTAATTGGTACAAGGTTAAGCCGGTTTTTCAACTGCACCTAAGCCAGTAGTTAAGTTCAATTAATTGAAAATCAAGTGTGATTTTTATTTTAAAAGCCAGTTTTTCAATTAACCAACGGTTAAAATGCAACTAATTGAAAATCAAGTGGGATTTTCATTCTTTTTAAAGCTAATTTTTCAACTGCACCTAAGCCAACAGCTAAGTTCCTACTAATTGAAAAATCAAGTGGGATTTCATTATTTTTAAAGCCAGTTTTTCAACTGCACCTAAGCTGACGTTTAAAATGCAATTAATTGAAAATCAAGTGGGATTTTCATTCTTTTTTAAAGTCATTTTTTAAAATTGCATTGCATTTCATTAATCAAAATTTGGTGTCTTTTCTCAAACATTGATTTTCGTTTTATTCAAACTCAATCAATTAGGGGCATTATGTAGACACTAAATTCCCCAAATGCATGAGAAAAATGTAATCCTTGAGCACATCAACACTAGGTTGTGTAACTTTGCATACAATATAGTCTAGATATATATATAAGGTAATTTAGATTATATTATATCTCACTTTTGTTAGAAAGGGTCATTTATTTTAAATCATTCTTTTTTTTTTTGTAAGATTTTGTTGTATTATTACATGTCCTTTTAAATTTTTACGTTTGATCTAATAAAGTTAAAAGTTTATGTCTTGCGGATATATGTCAAAGGTATAGCTTCGAGAATATTGTAACTCTATAGCTTAATTGAATTTCGGAGCTGATATCTCAAAGAGGCGTTTGTTTTATTATAAGTTTTGGTTGAATACCCTAGTGAGTGTGATAAGTTGTGAGGATCATGGGTAATCACTTGAGTAGTTTTGGTACCCATTATATGTGTATCACTTGTGTATTTTATAGTTTTGACATAAAAATGTTGTATATTTTTTTTTTTTTTTTTGTAATATCATGATATTTTAGAACTTCTCTATTTTATGACTATTAAAGTCCAATTCAGTTACCGTTTCTTTTTCATTTTATCAGTTTAACATTTTTTTTAGGTTATTTAGTTTGTTACATACTACCTCCGTTTTTATTTAGTTGACATTTTTCTTTTATTACGTTTGCCAGTGCATTATTTTAACGATTAATATCTTTAATTCTTGACATTGTTAAATTATAAAAAGTGTATGTTCATAAAATATACATAGAGAAGATTCAAACAAGATCCCAATTGACTATGTTTTATCGTAGCTATAATCCGCAAAAGCTAGTCAAAGTGTAGTTTGTAAATAGTGTAAAAGTTAAATGGTGTCCATTAAAAAAACAGAGGAAGTGTAAAACAAATGTATTTAATAAAAAAGAATCTCATTATTACCTAAATATAGATATTTAAACTCTAAATCTTCTAATTATTTTCATTTAATTACATTTTTTTTAAATTGCAAAATCATCCTTTTCTATTCCTATAAATACCTCCTAATTTTTACATTTCACTAGAAAAAAAATTATACACAACTCAATTACATAAAAAATATATGAAAAAATATATACTTCATCTCTCTATAAATAGCCTTTTAAATTTTTATATTTTCTAAGCTCTTCTATTGGTAAAAATCTCACTAATCTAGCTTCGTTTAAAGTTTTAGCTTACAGATAAAAAATTATAATCATTCAAATATCATTTAGTTTAAATTACTATCTCTAGTTTTAATTATTTAAGTGTTTTTATCTCTAGTCTATATCAAAAATACAAAACTACTTTCTTTAGCTTAATTATTATTATTGTTCTTTATCTTTATATAAAAAAACACAAAAATTGTTTAATTATTTAGGTGTTATTTTAAATTATTGTTCCTAGCCCTTATACTAAAAACCCAAAAAAAAAAAGTTTAATTCCTCATTTATTATTTTGAATTTGTAAGCAATTAAGATTTGGTTTAATTTCCAAGTATTAGCTCAAACTTATTTTCTCTAATAAAAATCCAACAAAAAATAAAAAAATAAAAAATAAAATTCATTAGCTTTACCTTTACTTATTTTAAACCATTTACTTCTTTTAATATCTAAAATTTTAAAATCACCTATCCTTTTCCTGATCTACTTTAATTGCCGTAATCCCATTCTTAATTTTAGTACAACAAATCTATTATCTAAAAATTAGCTACGTCTACCTCAAGGTATAA